ACCTGATAACGTACAGTCCCACCGTACCCTTCATCATTCCTCATTCACCATCGCGCGATACCCTGGCACACACTGGCAACATATCAATGGGGTGCCTTACCATCGTCTAGAGGAGACGTCTTCGCAGCAATATTTTCCCTCCTGCGCATTCAGTCGCCGACGCGACAGCGTTCACGAGGCCGTTCCAGTTGCGGAAGACATTCGATTCATCGGGCCAATTCAGCAACAGGGCCGTGGACACACAGGGGGCAGAGGAGAGACATTGTTAGTGGACAAGAAATATGCAGTGGCAAGTGGCGAGTGCCGCATGGATGTCAAGTTGTCATGCACAATTCAGCTATTACTTACGGTCCAGCTAGTCCTGCCATTGCTCGCTCGTCCTGGTTCCTCCTCGTTCGTCTTCCTGCACGTCTGCACTTCTCCTTCCCCACCGTTGGCTTTGCGGTACGGGGGTGCCGGAAAGAATTCCCACATGTACATGAAGTCCCACCATGACTCTCCATGTACATGTCCACGGCCACGTCAGCAGTTTGTATAGTACCGGAAGGAGTTCCCACGATGTCTCCAAAGGCCTAGAGCGGACGTCTTTGCAGCAATTCTTTTCGCCCTGCGCATTCAGTTCGCCATGTCTCCAAAGGCAAAGGCCTAGAGCCTAGTAGAGGGGACGTCTTTGCAGCAATTCTTTTCACCCTATACCTAGTAGTAGTAGTACCCTGCACATTCACTCCGCCGACACGACAGCGTTTACGGGGCCGTTTCAGGTGCAAAAGGTCCACGTCAGCAGTTCTCAACTATTTCGCGTACGGGATAGTCGCCGCGACAGCGTTTAAGGGGTCGTTCCAGGTGCAAAAGGTATCCATCAATGGCACTTTGCAGTATGGGGTACGGAAAAGGGGCCTCCTCGTTCGACTTCGTCGACTTCTGCAGTTCTCCTTCCCGTCAGGGGTACCGAAAGGGGCCTCCTCGCAGTTGTCCTTGCCGTCAGGTCCACGTCATGCAATTCTCAACTATTTCGCGTACGGGATAGTCGTCTTTGTCGTACGCGACATCGGCGTTTACCGAGTGGCATTGGCACAAAGCAGACCGTTGACGGGGTCACGTGTCAAAAAAGTATCAACGACGTGTCGACTACGTGTCGACCACGTGTATAGCGGTACACTCAGCGGTACACTAATTCTCGTGCCATTCTCGTGTCACAAAACTGGAACATCGAGTACCAGTATGGAAAGGCTTCAGACAGGAAGCCTTTCCAATGTAGGTTCGTTGGTGTGAAAACGCTGTCGCGGTCATCACCTTGAGGCAGCACAAGTTGCATCGCGCTTCCCACAATTCAGGAGCAGGTTCCAGACGTTCCCAGACAATGTCTGGGAACGTCTTGTGATGGAACGTCTCTCTTGTGGTCGCGGTGGCCATTCCGTGTTTAAAAGTTGGTTGGTTTATTTTAAGATTCGCACTATAAACGGGAACTATAAAACAGAGAGGTTCCAGGCTGTCCAAGAGCGTGCTCAATACCAAGAGGAGGGAGTGTCATTCGCACTTTTAGATTTGCGCCATGACGCAGTCATTTACACTTTGCTTTGTAGGTACTTCAGTATATAAACCAGTACGGATCCATATTACTCATTACTATCAAAAAGTATTCTTTCTAGACCAAAGAGTGGTATATTTGATAACATTTAATAACGATAGAAATTTTTACGATACTTCTCCAGACGTTTCGTTGTTCTGAACAACATCGTCAGTGGATAAAGAATGTTGTTCAGAACAACGAAACGTCTGGAGAAGTATCGTAAAAATTTCTATCGTTATTAAATGTTATCAAATATACCACTGTTTGGTCTAGAAAGAATACTTTTTGATATTACAATGAGAGTGAAGAATCAACGGCTTGTCCACCAACTCTTTTACTCATTACTGTTTTCTGATGATCGCTTTAATAGTGCGTGAAACTCATAGTTAAAACACTTTTTCCGTCCTCTTATTGTTTAAACGGGAACCATTGTAGACCCAAAGATAAAATTATTGGTTTCTGTCCACTGTCCTGCGTGTACTGGTACTGTCCCGGCACTGGACAAAGACGAGTGTTGCGTGTTGCTCGAGGACTAGACAGACCTACACTACCGTACCATCAGTGGGCAAAGTGCAGCTGCATTCGGCTGACATACAATGTAGGTGTCCACTGCACCGTCCCAGCTGCGACGCGTCGAAATCGAGCAGCGAGATAGTCATGCGAATGAACGCCTGGCAATGTTGGAGTACATGGAGTACATGTAGTCATAACTGATATCATTGGACTGCTGGGCGGTATGCTGTCCGTGTGGTCTTGGCAGGTGATAGGTTCGAACGGAGGGAGAAGGTATGGTTGCCAACTGGAGAGGTCCATCGTGACACTGATGTTGATACATGCTATGTACTTGGCACATGTAAATGTACATGTAGGTAAGGGTTGAGATAAGCCGCCTCAGAGGCAAGCGTATGGATGATTCTAATCTTCCCAAGCCAATCATCATCAGTGCAGTGCTCGCTGCTCGATTTCGCCGAAAAACGATGCGCTGAAGAACGGCCAGGCTAGGATTGAGTACCCGTCTGTACTACAGGGTGGCTCAGCCAGGCATAGAGATTTCTGCATGACCTTACTACAACCATCCACGGTTGGTAGAGCCCCGGTCCGTTGGGACCATCTGAACCATTATGGGTGTTGAACCCGGTTCTGACCCTCATTATGCTAGGGGAGTTTTTTTTAGACTTCTCCTAGCGTCAGTCGTGTATTCCTTGATCGCTCTTGGATGTCGTCCTGATAGTCATAAATAAAAGTAGCTATTCTAATCTGTGAAAAGAAGAAGGACAAAATGTTACGAGTTATGACTAACTGTCCACCAAAGTATCTAGATCTTATACAGTCAGCGAGTACGACAAAATGGCACAAAACTGACAAGGAGTACAGAGACATTCGGCGACCTGACACCTAGCTCCAACACTTCTCCAAGGCGCAAACCAACAACCTTCTAACTTGGAAGGCTCAGGTTCGCCGAATCGCCGAATGTCTCAGTACTCCTTGTCAGTTTTGTGTCATTTTGTCGCATTCGCTGACTGTATAAGATCTAGTTACTTTGGTGGACAGTTAGTCATAACTCGTAACATTTTGTCCTTCTTCTTTTCACAATAATTAATTAAAATTGGCTCACCATCCGAGTTATATTCTAATCTGAATTGTTGAGAACAGGGAGTCGTATAGACCCGGGAGGCGACACGCGCATCACTTGTGCACAACCATGATCGACTCAACGATTCAAAATATTACGACCTGCTCGGTGTGGGACAAGTCCGTACATACGAAATGGTACATCATGGTACATAGCGAGAAATCGTCGTCTTCGTCCTTTCGCCGAACAATTGTGGTCAGACTTTCGATCTCCATTGCCGAAATACAGCCATCTGTGGCCATCGCTGAGGAGTTCACTAATAAAGGGTCTTGTTCACTGGCTTTGCACTTCCACTCGAACTCTGAGGCACTTTGACCACCTAAGATGAGGTAATCCTTTCTTTACAAATTGCCTCAATATTTTCTCACCTTTAGGGCAATGAAGTAATTTTTTCCTCGTGACTAACTTCGACAGACCAAGTTGCCCTGTCCCAGTGATCTACAATACTTATATTGCACATTTGTGAAATATTGGACCTATCCAGATAAACGAAATGACTTTATTCGAAATTACATTTTCCAAAGTTTTCCTTCACAAATGGTCCCAATTTGTTCTCACCTTTAGCCAGTTTAGGGCAATGAAGTCAATTTTCTTCAGGACTAACATCGGCTAACAAAGTGGCGCTGTCCCAGTGATCTACAATACTTATAATCATTGCACATGTGAAATATTGGGAGTCACAGAGTGAGGAAATGGCCAAAATTGAAACTTGAACTGTTCTGCCAAGTTTTATGCAGTGAACGCAGGGCTGAGAGCCCGCAAGAGCCATCCCGGAAGATCTTGTGCGCCACCAACCGAACCTTCAGTGAATGTTCACAAGGTTAGAAGCTCGCACAGATAACACACATTGGATGCTAATAGTAATACAATGCACTCAGGAATGTGTGCAAATACAACAGAATTAATTCCAAATAAAGTCAACAATATCTGCCTCAACACAGTGCTATCAACCTTCCGTATTTTCCATATTTGTACGGAAAATCACTACTTCGTCCGCGCTATGGATTTTGAGAAAAATATACGGAAAATTGAACGGGATTGATCAGTATGTATAAGCATTGCAAGTGCAAGCTGAGCGATGAAAAGAAGAGAACCGAGTGGAAAGAAAACGCTGCAGTGGAGAGTCCTTAGAAAAGACTTAAAAAATATCATAATATCGCTGCACGAGATCATCCTTATAAGTTATAACGTCAGCTGATCGTACTGTGGTTGATTCATACGGCGGTAAATACACACCTGCCTACACACGCTCTCTAAACTGAAAAGTTATTCTGGCACAGAGCTCTCCTTCCCGCCACCACCACCATCATCAGTTCGCGTCTGGCGCCTAGTCGATGCAGGGTGAGTGGTGTCCGACATAGCAGGCTGGTACATCAGGTAGCGTATGGCGCATAGCAGATGACACAGCAACAACATAGCTTGATTGTGACGTACCTTTCGTCAACACAGTGCTATCAACCTTCCGTATTTTCCATATTTGTACGGAAAATCACTACTTCGTCCGCGCTATGGATTTTGAGAAAATATACGGAAAATTGAACGGGATTAATCAGTATGTATAAGCATTGCAAGTGCGAGCTGAGCGATGAAAAGAAGAGACCCGAGTGGAAAGAAAACGCTGCAGTGGAGAGTCCTTAGAAAAGACTTAAAAATATCATAATATCGCTGCACGAGATCATCCTTATAAGTTATAACGTCAGCTGATCGTACTGTGGTTGATTCATACGGCGGTAAATACACACCTGCCTACACACGCTCTCTAAACTGAAAAGTTATTCTGGCACAGAGCTCTCCTTCCCGCCACCACCACCATCATCAGTTCGCGTCTGGCGCCTAGTCGATGCAGGGTGAGTGGTGTCCGACATAGCAGGCTGGTACATCAGGTAGCGTATGGCGCATAGCAGATGGCACAGCAACAACATAGCTTGATTGTGACGTACCTTTCGTCCCGGCTGGACTCATCAGGCAATCTTCTTCTTAGATGTCTTCACAAGGAGCTTGACTCGGGAGAATGAAGTTGAAGACTCCACTGCAACTGCACTTATGGTTAGTCCATATGGTAGTAAATACACACCTGGCAATATGGGGGTAAATACACGCCTGCCCAGACACGCTCTCTAAACTGCAAAGTTATTCTGGCACAGAGCTCTCCTTCTCACCACCACCACCACCACCATCAGTTCGCGCCTGGCGCCTAGTCGATGCATGGTTAGCGGTATCCGACATAGCAGGCTGGCACATCAGGTAACGCATGGCACATAGAAGATGGCAACGACATAGCTTGATTGCGACGTACATTTCGTTCTCTTGGTTGCGCTGTAGCCTGAAAAAGGAAATAAGACAATGCATCCACATGACACAGACAAGTAATTACTGTTACAAATAATGCATACTGCTTGATAACAGAGAAAGAAAGTCAGTGGTCACACAAGTTTTTGGTCGTCCCTGAAACGAAGATCGTTCCAGGGGGGGGGGGGGGGGGGGGGGGAGCTAAAATCTCAGTCGACTGACGCTATGCATACACATGTACATGCATGCGATTTTCGTCGTCCATTCATTTCGGAGGGTGGAGAGGAGGTCCGAGTACGAAATGAATGATGTTTTTTTCAGGGATGACTAATCACTTTTGCGATGACCCCTTATTGCATCAATTTATCGTCTGTACTGCGCAATTGAGTCCCACTTTTATTATGTTGGGTCCAGATTTCAAAACTCGTGAAGTTCGAGGCGAAAAGCAGGCCGATGAAGGGACGCCAGTATTTCAGTCTAGTCCGGTCAGTGGCGGGTTTAGGGGGGGGCGCGGGGGGCGCGCGCCCCCCCCTCAAAAATTTCGACCTAGGTTTCGAAAAATAATAGGCAGGGCGCTAGGGCGCCGGGTCGATCGAGCTAGACTAGGCTCGTCGGGGCGCGCGCGGCCTGAAACGATTGTCCAAAACAAGCGGTTGCACGGTCGAGCTGGTGTTGATTGTACACAGTACAGTCTAGTACAGTACAGTCTACAGAGTAGAGTCTACGTACAGTGAGCATGCACGGCGCGGCTACAGAAACACGGTGACCTGACCACTGCTGACTGTGTACTGTTGTACAGTGTGATCCCTGCTGGGACGCGCTCGACGCGTCTTCAACGGTACAAACATCGAAGAAAAGTCTTCGATCGAGTCAACCAAAACACGATTCGAATGCCGAGGGCTCAGGCGATTATCCTCGTTCGAATCGTGTTTTGGTTGACTCGAAGGCTTTTCTTCGATGTCTCAGGGACATCCCAAAAGGCCAAGCTCTAGCCAGCAGAGCCTGGAATTTTTGTAAAGCGTTCCTGTGGCGGCGCAACTCCTGCTGCCGCTCCAACAGGAAACAGTGGGAGTGATGAAGTCGCTGTTATTCCAGTTGAACTTTCGGAGCGGACTGACAGTCACACTCCGCCAGACGCGGAAGAATCTGTTGTCAGGGAGTAGCCAGAACATGAAGAACAGCGCACAGTGACAAGTACCGCTGCCTATGTAAAGGATGCTTTGACTCTTTGAGAGCGGTGAGAAATTGTTGGACTCGCATAAATAATTGCAGTTGATTCGCTCACCTAACGGCAAATTATTTTGAAGTTTACAATGTACATTGTTGCTGCGTGTACAGAAATACTGCTCGTGGTGTGTGAGATTTACGGCTTGTTGTTGTTGTTTATTTTACTTCACCAAATGAGCAGGCAGAGATGCCTTCTCACCTGCCCATAGGACAGGTTCTCACAGAATGATGAAGGGATGATATGCAAGGGAAAACAAGAAATGATATTAATTATTATATAAGACAGAAAGGACCAAAAGAAGAAAAGGAAAAATTTATATGAAAACAATTTCATGGAGTCAGAAATAGAAAGACAATAATTTCATGGAGTCAAAGAATAGAAAGACAATCTCATGGAGTCAGGAACACGTGGTTGATTTTATAGACGTGCATGCACAAATGTGATAGATGAGAAGGTTGGAATTTATGGCAGATAATAAAAGTTTAACGAGGATACTGATTCACAAAGTAAGTATACCAATGGCAGAAAGAGCTTTTCGGAAGGGACCAGGGACACGTATCACTCTAAAATCAGAGGGGAGAGCGTTCCAGAGAATGCTTCCCCGAAACATCATGGTCGATCGTCCCGCAGGCCCACGAAGAAAGGGAACTTGAAGCAAGTTCGACACTTGTCCCCGTGTGGTGCGCTGATCCTCCGGAACAGTCTCTGGGGCCGTTCGGGTGAATAACTGTTGAAGAAGGGGGCTACAGGAGGAGCTTCTTGACATCGGTTTTCAAAATGACCTGGGACAGTAGCATGATGTCATCTACCCCCACCCCATCCCGCCTTGATCCCGGCCGCAACCCCCCCCTCAGCCAAATCCTGGACACGCCACTGCCGGTGTCATGGAGAGGGACCGATGAACCGGCAACAAGAGAATTCAATACGCATGCTACTCTTCAGTTCATTGCTGGGGAAGACTACTCAAGGCCACGTCACTCCGGCAATTCAATGTACAAATCAGCAGCAACACTTGCAAACGTATTCCTACCAGCTGACCAGCAAGTTACCAGCCATCAGCTCTTCAAATAATTCCAACTTAACAAAGAGAGGAGATGGACAGATCGGAAAGTATCGTGGCAAGCTCAGGACAACACACGTCCGGCCCTATGTAACAACAGTGGAAAGTGCGTGCCATGGTATATTTTCGAAGGCATATCAAGAACCAGCTAATGTGGACTGGGAGTCCATTTGCATCGTCCGATCAGCTGCTACAAGTGCCGTGAGCCAATGGCAAACACTTTAGACAGAGACTACTACCTCTACTGAATGCAACTTTGGCATGGCAGAGATCTACAAGCACGTTATCTTATCTATCAATAGAGTTGTATCCTCGTATGACTATGTGAAGTGTGAGGTCGTACTGTACTGCAGACGCGTCTCCGACCTGGTTGGAAATGTACGCAATAGTTCCCACCCTCTTAACCAGAGATCGCACACACCCTAGGGTTTTGATGGGTTTGTACGACTCCCAGCTCTTGACTTTTGTTGGGTGTACGAGACGCACGCACAGTTTTCTTAGGGTGAGTACTTTTTTCATGTAGTACTGAATGCGGCAAGCAGGACTCGCCCATCCGCCCCTCCCCAAATGGATCTACTCGAATGGTTGCGGAGGTAGGGGTGCTCTGGCGGGATTTTACGACATACACAAGCGCGCACACACGCACACAATATACACACGCACGCACCACACACACATACACACAAACGCACGCTATGTCGCACGTCTTGGGCATGGCTTCGTGAATACAAATAATAATTTAATGTTATAATTTATAGTATCCAAATGTTACAGCAGCTTTACAAAACCTACCGTTCAATACCGGATCATCTTGTGACAGCTTCCTTGCAACACCCATGACTTGACCCCACTTCGTCTTGACGTCGGGAAATCGTTCACACCGGAGTTGGGACACGACTCATTGAAATCCAGGCCTATCTGCAGCTGGGAGCAGGACAGAGCTGATGGACGTCAGCAGCGGCTGTAGAACAACCATAAACGAGTCTTCTTTCTCCGCAGTCAGGGGGGACAGCAGCTTTGCAATGCAAGCTTCTTGCCTTCTGTGGGTCTTTAGCGGCTGGGATTCGGAACGCTCTGTAGAAACCATTGAACAAGTACTACACTCTATCAACCTACAAGTATTTCTTCCAATTCATGATTATTCGCAACTTTTTATGCAGTACGCGCACCAGATCAGAAGCCGCTAAGTAGCAAGGTTGAAAGTTTCAAGACAAATTGAAAAATATAATTAAACATAGAAAATTAGAATTCAAAGTTCACCATACCTGTGGCCCAAGCCAATACAGACTGAGCGTTCACGCGAAGAGAACGTAGATCTACGTCAGCTGAGGTTTCCTTAGGATCAGGAGGTGATTCTTGATCCGGATCTGGATCGCGATCAGCAGCACTCTCTGCCTCCATCACGATCATCAAATGCAACTAATTACTTGAAAAAGTAGTTCATTCTTCTTCTTCTTTTCGAGCTACGATTTCTCACGATCCTATCGATCCTGTGGCCTGCACGAGTCAAGGAGTGCACTCCCATGGCATAAGTACGCGGAGTAGTTGGTTTATAACTCAGGGCACGCACCGGGGATATCTGAGGGAAAAGTGCAGTGGGAGAAAGTGCCGCGAGTCAATCATAGTCGGCCCGGAAGGCCTCGTGTCGCCTCCCGGGTCTATACGACTCCCTGGTTGAGAAATATGGCGGTAAAGACACACCTGGAAATATGGCGGTAAACATACGCCTGCCCACACACGCTCTCTAAGCTGCAAAGTTCTGGCACAGAGCTCTCCTTCTCACCACCCCCACCACCATCAGTTCGCGCCTGGCGCCTAGTCGATGCATGGTTGGCGGTTTCCGACATAGCAGGCTGGTACATCAAGTAGTGCATGGCACATAGAAGATGACACAGCAACGACATAGCTCGATTGCGACGTACGTTTCGTCCCCGTTGGACTCATCAGGCAATCTTCTGCTTGGATGTCTTCATACGGAGCCTGACTCGGGAGAATGAAGTTGAAGACACCACTGCAGTTGTACTTATGGTTGATAAATATGGTGGGCCTTGGTGGCTGATGGTGGTGATGGTGGTGAGAAGGAGAGCTCTGTGCCAGAACTTTGCAGCTTAGAGAGCGTGTGTAGGCAGGCGTGTGTTTACCGCCATATTGCCAGGTGTGTCTTTACCACCATATTTATCAACCATAAGTACAGCTGCAGTGGTGTCTTCAACTTCATTCTCCTGAATTGTTTTAACTCAATTTTTCTTCCAACTTCTGCCCATGGCGTCCATCTCTCAGCTCGTCAGCTGACAACAGGTACTGTCACCACCATGACCCTGTCGTGACTCGTGACTCACGAGTCGTGAGAAGGTGCTCCCTGTAGACGAAGTTGGTGATGTTCCGACGCGGCCGTGGATGGTTGTAGTAAGGTCACTGTTTCCGAACACAGTGTCCTCCACCTTTTTTCATTGCTGTCAAACCAACAAAATGTGTGAACTATACACGGTTAACAGTGTATATAATGCTGGTGCTGGTACTGGTGCTGTACTACTATCTACTTCTATCTGGTGCTAGTACTGTGCTAGTATTAGATTATCTAATACCATTGTATCTGGAAGAAACTGTGCAGCTCGACACACGAGGAGAAATCAGTATCAGCAGCTACTACACCTAGCTGATGATGCTCACAAGACAGAAGCGGAAAAAACACTGAATTTCTTTATTTAGTGCTCTACTACGCGAAATGTGCTATTATTATTATTATTGTATAGGGTTGTAGTGATAGGCCAAGTCCATCGAACCTTCCACTCGGCAGACCTGCACGACAGCACCACTCCCTGCTCAATACACATCGCTTCGGGGAATTCGCCACTCATCAGTTGAGGAATGGGTTTGCTCCCACGCTGGAGCTCGCGCTATTCCGCCGATTTGACTTGACACTTGACTGACTCACGACTGCTATCCACAGAACACGAGAAGTCCATCGAACCTTCGACTCGGCAAACCTGCAAGAAAGCACCATTCCCTGCTCAATACACCCCTCATCAGTTGAGCTTGAGTAGGCTGAGGAAGATTGTACCTGAAGAGCACCACGTATATAGTACTCTCCAGGCACAAACATCACCAGGGATACAAACTTACAGAGACACTCCGTTTCCAGCGCGACAAACACCTCGTGAACACCAGATAGCAGCGCGAGTCAGTGGCCGCTGACTCGCCCGTTCACGCTTATTTTGGAGACGACGGGATCTCTCTTCCAAAGTATGTTTTTGCTGACGCATCCTATCACCTATTCGGTACCTATACTAACGTCAATTCTAATTTCATTTCCTCCTCGTCTCCCTATTTCTTTCCAAATCTCCCTCTACATCAGGGATTCGTATACATAATACGACGAATATCGTGGCTAGCCCTTTCCTAAAGATGCCATAATTTGTCGCAACTTTTGCTTTTCGCAACCGTGCCAAAACAGGTGCTAGTTGCTGAAATCGCAACCATATTTTCAGAAAAAGCTCAAAAGTTGCTAATATCGCAACTTAAAATTGGAGAGTTCTTGTGCAAAAACCACCAAAAAGGGAGCAGAAATAGCAGAAGTCAAACTTGTACAGTGTACATCCCTTCCTACTTTCCACAATGCCAGTATCCTGTTGCATGTATCCTACATCGTTGCAGTGCAAGGCAAAGGGAATGCACATTATCCTACCTACCGTTGATCTACTGTTTCTCTGAAATGAGTCTGCGAGAAATGAGCGAGTATGCATTTGTCCGACATGCAGTCCGTGACTTGACCTTTTGACCACATGCCATGGGGCCAAGGTTGCGGAAAAGTTGCGAAATAGTTCGCGAAAAAGAAGGAAGTTGCGAAAGTTGCTATTTCTTCTTAACCTCTAAAAATTACACGTAAGGCCAAACTAAAGAAGGTGTGTGGTTCGACTAACATGGACATTTTTTTTACGGGCGGGCGGGCGGATTTTTTTCTTTTAATATATATTTTTAGTACATGTAAATACACTGTATACGCGTATCGAGTAGACTCTACTACCAGCACAAGGCAGCAGTCGTACCACTCACTGCACTGCACTGCAGTACAACTACAACAGTACAAGTCAAGTCCAAAAGGAGCCGCCTAGCGCCTGCGTCCGCAGACTCACGCCGCACAGCACGTAGACGTGGACGTGTTCAGTCCACGTAGATCTACGTCAGTCACACGACAGCCCGCCGAAAAAAAGTTACGGTCGGGCTGAAATTGTACGGTCGGTCGGGTGAGTCGAACCACACACCTTCTTTAGTTTGGCCTAACGTGAGATTTGCACCGCGTTTTGAAAAAGGGCAAACAAAGTGTAACCAAGAGGGGTTATGTACTCTTGGTGTAACTTGAACAACGAAAAGTTGCAAAAAAAGTGGCGAGCATCTTTGGGAAAGGGCTATATTATTGTGGCCAGCTGTACGGTACGGGACAGATACCAGCCAGCAAATATTGTGGCCAGCTGTAATAGTGTAGAGCCTTTGTAGTCACAGATACCTGGATACGGGTTAAAGCTGTGTGGACCCTGGCTAGCGCCAGACATTACTGAAGTAACGTCTTCTGCATAGCTACGGGAATTAAAGCTGTGTGGACCCTGGCTAGCGCCAGACGTTACTGAAGTAACGTTTCTGCATAGCTACGGGAATAATAATACTTATGGTTGATAAATATGGTGGTAAAGACACACCTGGCAATATGGCGGTAAACACACGCCTGCCCACACACGCTCTCTAGGCTGCAAAATTCTGGCACAGAGCTCTCCTTCTCACCACCACCACCATCAGTTCGCGCCTGGCGCCTGGTCGATGCATGGCTGGCGGTATCCGGCATAGCAGGCTGGTACATCAAGTAGCGCATGGCACATAGATGATGACACAGCAACGACATAGCTCGATTGCGACGTACGTTTCGTCCCCGCTGGACTCATCAGGCAATCTTCTTCTTGGATGTCTTCATACGGAGCTTGACTCGGGAGAATGAAATTGAAGACACCACTGCAGCTGTACTTATGGTTGATAAATATGGTGGTAAAGACACACCTGGCAATATGGCGGTAAACACACGCCATAAATAATACTTGTAATATTATTCGCGGGCCGCGCGGGATCAGCCTAAACATCACCAGGATACCCACTTACTAGTACATTGATATGACACTCCGTTTCCAGCGCGACAAACACCTCGCGAACTCCATGAAATACAGCCATGTACATTTTTGTATTTCGAAGTAAGATCAGGAGATCGAGCATGCATGGCTGACGCAGCACAGAACCAATGAAGCGATGACGAAGCGCTGGGCGTAGGGATCACATCCACAAACAGCAACATGACTCTGTACTAACGGTTAAAACTCCGAGTGAGCATGAGGTGGGTATTATCTGCGTGGTCTACATGATTGATTGTACATCGCGCCTATAGCCTAGACAGTACTAGTAAGTAGTAGTGAAGCTGAGCGCACCCTTCATTTTTAGTTGGAATAAACGCACGCTTCAACCAGTACTGGCAGTAGCAATGAACGCGCACTCCAAGGAAGAAGGAGAAGACGTAGACTCTCCTTTGTAAGAGACATACCGGTAGATCCCCAGATCGCCATGGCAGGCTGGGTACTGGTACATGCACCACGAACCATACGTGATGTACTCTCCGTTACGCCAATGCGCCAGCCTATCATCCTGTGTTTGCTAATTCTGCTATTGCTCGTCTTCGAAGCCAACGCAGCGACTCAAGCTCAAAGCAAGGGCTCGCAATCCTCAGACTCTGGTACTTTGTCAATGTCTACTGATTGTATGCGAGCGTTCTTCCAACAGGCTGGAGTACGCAGTTCACATGTCACTCAGTACGTTTCTGCTTTCCGACAAAATGGCGTTGGACCAGAGGTTCTGTTCAGCTTGAGTTTTGTGGACTTGGTCAACCTTCTACGAGACACGTTCAACATATCTTACGCAGGGGACGCTTTTCGCATCCATACGTGCACTAATGGTCGAGGTGGGTGTGTTGCCCAGCCCTTTTGCCATAACGAGGGTACATGCGTCTACAGTGACGTCACTAGACAACACCATTGCAAGTGCAAGCACAAGTATACCGGACCAAGATGTTCGAAGAAAGTCGAGAATCCCGTGGAGGAGCTGAGACGGAAGGTAAAACAAATGTCTGTTGTGCTAGCCAATGTTGGCGTGTCGTACACCCGCTGGGGAAGGAATTCCTGTAATTCCTCTTCAGGCGCAGAACTTGTTTATACTGGACAAATGGCTGGATCGTTTTACCAACACACTGGAGGTGGATCCAATTACATCTGTTTACCACTGAATCCACAGTATGACAAATACAGGAGTGGGGTTCAAGCTCAGAGTTATCTTTATGGTACCGAGTTGGAAACCAGTGGTTTCTTTTCACCGTTTGGCAGTCTTCAAGAGCAGAACCCTACCTGTGCTGTATGTCACGTGACGGGAAGATCATCCCAGATCATGATTCCGGGTCACATGACCTGTCCGCCATCATGGAGTCGGGAATACCATGGTTACCTGATGAGCGCGAGCAACAATCACAAGGGTCGTACAGAGTTTATCTGTGTTGATGGCAATCCTGAGGTGTTGCGTGGCGAGAATGCCAACACGAATGGAGCTCTCCTGTACTTTGTGGAAGTCAAGTGCGGCGTTGGATTGGACTGTCCACCGTTCGACAATAATAAGGAATTAACATGTGTGGTTTGTTCGCGATAAGTGCAGAGACAACTTGTATTCCAGTCGCATCACAATCAGGTGACATTGCCTTCTTATTCATGTACATGTACATGTATACATGTAAGCACTTCTTTTTGAAGTACATTGTACAGTACATGACTGGGCAGGGAGAACAAAATCCTATGCAAAATAGCAGACCAAAGGCAGTCGTTACATCAGCATTATTGTTATTATTATCATCATCATTCCGTCATTCTATGCTCTACATTTAGCTTTGGCCCGTCTGGGCCTCTGGGGCGGGGGAACGGGGAGCTGGGATTAAGAAAATAAGACTGTACGAGTAGGCCAGTGTGTTGCATTCTGTCTGTCTGTTCCGTTGCGCAAGGTGTCAGCCGAGGCTGTTCGTGTGTTCGTCCGCTATTGCATGCACGAAGTAAGTAGTTCTGGGAGTGGGAAGCATTACCTCCATGCACTGGCACCTTCCCATGCGTAGTCTGCAGACCTAGAGTTGCATGCACTTCGTGTTTGATAAGATGTTCTTTCGCAATGTGGAAAAGAGTTTTATCTTCTTGCAGTTTTTTTACTGCAGAGGTTTTGTTGTTTTCTGCTGCTCGAGAGGGTCAATGCGTTCTACATGTGGAATGTACATGCACGAGGGTATGTGTGTGTGTGTGTGTGCGCGCGCGCGTTTGTGCGCGCACGCGTGTGTATGTGTCTGCGTGTGTTTGTGTGTGCGTGTGTGAAGCCTGATCGAGTGGGTTGACCTGCTGAGGGCAGTTTTTTTACTGCAGAGGTTTTGTTGTTTTCTGCTGCTCGAGAGGGTCAATGCGTTCTACATGTGGAATGTACATGCACGAGGGTATGTGTGTGTGTGTGTGTGCGCGCGCGCGTTTGTGCGCGCACGCGTGTGTATGTGTCTGCGTGTGTTTGTGTGTGCGTGTGTGAAGCCTGATCGAGTGGGTTGACCTGCTGAGGGCTGTAGACATTCAATGAATGGAAGAATCTTGTTTTTACATGACTGTGTCCACCTCTGCTTGTACAAATTGTCGACGCAGGATGATGCTGGGGTAGGCATCGCCCATTGAGAGCTGAATTCTGTCTGCTTGACGTGGAATTTCTTGGAGTTTTCCACTGTATTCTACTCAAGTATCAAGTTTTCTTTTCATGGTATCTCTTTTTTCAGATCCATAGACTTTATCTTGCCCGTAAAAGAAGCACTTACTAGGCTTTCCCCAAATCGGCCCGCCGAAAAATTCGCCGAAAACGAGACTTATCCAAAAATCGCTAAGCTTTTCGCCGATTTTGGAGGGTTCCTTCAAATTCCTTTTCAGAATCGCCGAAAATCTACCAAATGTTGTTGCAAAGTGCGTTTACGAACGAATGATGTTGCTGCAAGCATGACCGCTCGAGCTTTCTACTTCAGTACTTGTAGTACTAGTGTGTTGGGGTTGTGTGACTCGTGTCCTTTGACCTCCTCTCAAACAAACATTAGCCATTAGGAAGATCGTTACTACTACTGTACTAGTAAAATCCCCAAATTGGCCGGCGAAAATTCACCGAAAACGAGACTTTTAGAAAAATCGCAAAGCTTTTCGCCGATTTTGGAGGGTTCCTTTGAGAATCGCCGAAAATCTACCAAATCTTCCAATATTTCACCAATTTTGAAGCCAATATGCCAACAATTCCTTTAGCCGATTTTCCAATACATGTATATGTATATTCCAATTTTGCAGCCGATTTTCGAACAATCAGCTGTTTTGCAGCCGAATCTGATGTATTTTTGAGCTGAGCGAAAAGCCAACTGGTATACTAGTACCGGTACTGCTGATTTGATGCTTCAGAAAGGCCTGGTATCATGGTTATGCTCTTGGTTTGAGGCAAAAAGGGAGAATGGCTGCAAATTGTCAAACTTCAAGGAAGGCCCGGAATGCACATACTGACATAGTCAATCTGCCTCTGAAGCTGCCGCAATATCTTTCACCAGTTCCACCTCCTGTTGGTACTGTAAGACATGATCGCTTCGTCTGTGGTTGCTCTCCATTGCAACTGGATGCAGGGCTATGGAAGAATAGAGGGTGTATAAAATGATAAAATCCTTCAAATCCTCTCCCTCATTATCCAGGTACTACCGTGGTGAGAGGTGAAAACCATTATTGCTGGTGATCATTGGGATGCTGGAAGCTTATCATGGCAAGTGGTAGCTGCCTGCAGACAAGCTGTCACTGCTTCCACTCTGTGAAAATGCCTTATCCGAAAAAGCAGACATTAGGCCAGTTCGTGAGAGGAGATCACGGATCGAGATCCCTCCCACTTGCGGAACGCCTGAAAACAGGTGGTCCGAAGTTATGTTGCCACTCTACAGCCTTTGCTTGTGCTGTCTTCTTCTCATTTTGGTGTTGTTTAGATAAATGCATGACCACAATACTCCTCTTTTTTTATAGCACTTAACTGCAGGCTTAGCATTACAACCATCCACAACTTTTTTTACAACTAACTGTACGTGCTTCTCCAGGAGCGACAATGACTTACGCTGCTATCTGGTGTTCACGAGGTGTTTGTCGCGCTGGAAACGGAGCGTCTCTGTAAGTGCACTCTACCGAAGATGCATTAGTTCTAGCCGCCAACCGTTGGCTGTTGGCCAAACAAGAGCGTAAATACACGGGTATTGTGATGGTTGACATGTCAAAAGCGTTTGACCGTGTCCAACATCAACGTCTGATTGACAAACTATTCACCCTGGGAGTCAATGACAGAGTATTGTTATGGGTGGCTAGCTATCTCAGTGTCTGGTCGTTCTCAGCGTGCCAAGGTGTGTGAGGCTCTCTCTGATGCAGTCCCATGCTTTAGAGGTGTGCCCCAAGGCAGTGTTCTCGGGCCGCTTCTCTTTGTCCTTTACACGAGTGACATTTCCGACGTCATACCTTGCATTGTTGTTCATCAGGAGTTCGCGGACGACATCATCCTAGATTATTCTGATTCAGATCTGGACACTGTTTGCAAGACTTTCACTACGGCTGTGACACGTCTGTCTGACTGGCTCTCCGAAATTGGGCTTCTGCTGAATACCAGCAAAACCCAAGTCATGGTAATTCAACCTCGGGGACTCACTGGCAACATACCAGTCGTGAAATGTAAGGATCAAGCCTTAACTGTTACTTCCACTGTCAAATACCTTGGCGTAACCATTGATGACCAGCTATCCTGGCAGCCACATGTCTCCAGTGTTGTGCAGAAGGCGTCAGTCGCCACCAGCCAGCTATGGCGCCATGGGCGATCTCTGCTTTAAAAGCCCGCAGACTTTGGTACATTGGCATTGTGCAAGCACGACTAACGTACGCATCCAATGCATTCTTCCCGTCGCTGACACAGCAGCTGCAGAGTCGTTTAATCAAATCCAGCAAATCCGGAATTCGTGCGATTTTCCGACTCTCCAGCCGTGCATCCACAGCCCCCCCCCCCCCCCTCCTCGTGCGCTTATCTATTCGATCCCTAACTCACATTTTTCACTACAACTACAAGGTTTTGTTTTTTTTGTTTTCCGTTGCCTACATGATCTTGCAAGTCCTCTTTTCTGCACCTACTTACAGTTGATGGCAAATACAGGCCAAGCATCCCGGGATGATCGCCGAATTACTCGAGGACAGGAACAGAGGCTACTGCAAGTGCCTTTCCTTCCTGGTCCTTCCGGTCGTCAGTCACTGACATTTGTGGGAAGCACTCTTTGGAATGCCCTTCCCAGCGATATTCGCCTCCACAGTGCGGCTTTTGCCTTTAAACTGGCTCTGAACAGAATTAATTGTAATTTGTAACCAGTGTTAATCGCGCTCCTTCCTTGCTCGGCATCCCTACACATTACTGCATGTGTTTCTCTGTGTGTTCTTTACTGCATGCTTACACATACACACGCCCATTTGAATTATATACATACTCTCTCTTTCTCTCTCTCTCTCTCCGAGGGCTCTCTCTCTCTCTCCATCATTGTCTGGCTCTCAGGTTCTCACTCTTCTCACACAGTCTTTCTTCTCTCCCTTTCCCCCATGGTGCGTGATGTGCGCCTTGATCCCGAGACCATTGGTCGGGGGAGCGCACTTCACCTCACCGGCACAGCTCAATAGCACCTACACGCCCTTTGTAGTCCCCTATGTTCTCTTGATGTTGTTGTTGATGTTGTTGTTGTTGTTTTTCTCTTCCATTCTATGTAGGCATGTGTACTTTCATAAAATAAAATAAAACTTTGTGCTTTGGAATTATCATGTTATGATTCTTTTTAATATTTCCTTCTCTCATAGTATTATGTTCGTTCTTAGCAGGATTTTCCTCTGGTGAGAAGGCAGAATTGCCTGTGCTCTAAATGAATTCAAATAAAAGAAAGAAAGAAACAAACAAAAAAGTGTGTATCCCTCGTGATGTTTGTGCCTGGAGAGCAAAGTGGTGCTCTTCGGACACAATCTTCCTCAGCCTACTCAAGCTCAACTGATGAGGGGTGAATTCCCCGGAACACTGCGTATTGAGCAGGGAGTGGTGCTTTCTTGCAGGTTTGCCGAGTCGAAGGTTCGATGGACTTCTCGTGTGCTCTGGATGGCAGTTGTGAGTCAGTCAAGTGTCAAGTCAAGCCGGCGGAATAGCGCGAGCTCCAGTGTGGGGAGCAAACCCTTTTCAAACAAATCATCGCCGAAGTCGCAACCGGCACTATTTCGTAAGAAATCGTTACCTAATAAAATTGCCTACCGGCATGCAAAGGCGAAGTCACGCCTCTGCCCGTGACAGTACAGCCGCCGGCAATATGCTGCAAAGGGGCTCCCGACCTTGCGGCGAATGTATGTAAGAGGCCCTGCAGCCCCCTAAAGCACGTGACTGCCCATCGCAGCAGGCGAAACGAAATCCGTTTCCCTCACGGTGCTCCCCTCACGGCGGAATATACCAAATCTTTGTTTTTGTCTACAGCCAAAGCAGCTAGCGACTTCAGAAATATTGTGGTTTCCTTGCCACCACACCCGAGGTCGAAAACATTCACATACCCAACTCGTAAAAATGATAATGAAAGACAATGGTACTGAGACAAGGCCTATAGGACAAACGTGACAACTACTGAGAAGGGGCTGCACCGAGACGCAGCAGCGATGGTGGGGCATTGATGGCTCTGCCGACCTGAGGTCTCGGCATCACGGCCAAAAACACACACCAAAAACAAAAGATAGAGCTGCACGGGTCAGCAAAATAGAAAGCAAGGGTTAACATCAGCTAGTGTGCAGCGCAGCATCGTAGCAATGGGAGTCGTTGACGGGGCACTAGAATGTAGATGGGTCGACAGGCATAATGTCCGTGGAGTTATTCGTTGACGTTGCATTTAAACCTTTGAAGATTTTTGCGAGTTGGGGCGGAGTCTAGAAAAGCTGGCGGCAGGGAATTCCACAGTTGGATTGCACAATACGGGAAACTACGGAGAATGGCGTCTGGTGCTTGACGCGGTAGGGGAGTTCTTAGCCGATAACTGTGGCCGATGGCCGAGCGGAGATCGTTCCGAGTGCGAGTGGCGCCACGGGAGGCTAGCTGCGCCCTTTGCAGCGTGACGGTGATAGCCTGGGATTTCGACGACTCAAACGCTACACGCAATTTCTTGCCCCAGTCTGACAGACGATTGACGGTGTCCTGAAGCAAGGCAGCAGCAGTGGGGAGATCGTTACGGAGAAGAGTGTACGATGTCGTATCGTCAGCATAGGCTTCCAGCTGCGTGTTCTTAGCAAGGCATGTTGATACGTGGAACGAGGAACGAGGAACATGGCTGGCCCCAGAATGCTGCCTTGTGGGACTCCCGCCTTGATGGGGTATGGACGGGAGGTTGCACCACCGACAACACACTGTATTCTTCGGTTAAACAGGTACGATGTCAGCCATGCAAGGAGGATTCCTTGGATGCTACTTTGCTGTAGTTTGAAGGGGACACCTGCGTGAGAGACCTTTACGA